AGTTTTGTTTGTTTGTTGTTTAACACCACACTCGGCAATATCCCAGCTATGTGGCGGCGGTATGTAAATAATGGAATCTGGACCAGTCAATACAGCGATTGACGTCAGGAGCATCGGTCTACATGCATCAACCAAGTCAGTGAGCCTGACCACCAGATCCCGTTAGTAGCCTCTTATTAGGAGAAGCAAAGTCGCCTTTAACGGCAAGCATGGGTTGCTGAAGACCTATTCTATCCCGGATCTTCAGGGGTCATATTTACAACAAACCGCTGTTATCTACAGCGGTCTGTAAATAATCGAGTCTGGACCAGACAATCCAGTGATTGATATCAGCAATGATCCACGCAATTGGGATCGATGACATGCTTCAACCAAGTAAACGAGCCTGAAAACAACAAGTTTGATAATATAACTATAAATACTTCAACTTGAGGGGATCCGTTTTTACTCTGTAACAAGCTGCTGTTACACGCACATCGCAATCCCCAATAGGAACCACTGAGAAAGAAATATGTGTGAATAGCTAGATCTATAAAATACATTAGACAGGATGAAATATTTTAAAAAGACAAAAGATTATCACTTTCTTAATATTGGTGAAATGGGGTTTTTTTTAAAACAAATTGATTTGTAAATATCAGCCAAGATCTACTGGAATTCCGATATCTAGATCTAACATATATGATTGCTTATTTGTGTTACACAAGAGCCTATCGGTCTAGATGAACTAGTTCAAGATAGATCAATGCTGCTTAAATTCGAATCTGAATTAAATGATTTCAGTCCTTTACTGCAGAGCAACCGGAAAGTTTCTGAATATCCGATCCACGAAAGAAAAAAAATTGAATATTAGTTTGAACACATGCGAGACAAGTTGTAGCTTGATAGTTTCCCAGAAGTGTTGGTCCAGATTGTGAGAAAATTCTTTTTCAGACACAAATAAAAATGATAACATATCTGTTTCGTCTTGCATTTAAAAATCAACACATTTTGGAACGTCAAGTAGGTCAATGAGAGAACATAAACGCATTTCCTTCTGAATGTTAAATAATGTGGTTGGCGAAGTCGAAAGCATGCCTATTACAGAGCTTGTATTCTTTCGAAAGTTTACCCCGTTATAAGACTTTCACTCAAAGCTGTAGACCAGGGTGACCTTCTGGGTACATGGTACGTTAATTTCGTATGAATTTTCTTATAACGGGACATGCTTGCGTTATTTGATAATTTGTCAGCCATAACTGTTCTTCGTATTTGCATAAAGTTTCATTTATAAGATTTCTCCATTTCATTTTCGGAGAAAAAGTACCGTATTGAACATATGTTTCTTTGTTTAACGCCGCACTCGGCGATATTCCCATTGAGTGCTTTTACACTAAATGCGTTTCTTGAAGTCCACTCAACCATCTTCTTTATCATTTCCTGCTTATACTAAGACATCATTCTCCCGGGGCGGTCGGGAGGCTTAGTGGTTACAGCGTTCGCTCGTCACGCTGAAGACATGGGTACAATGTGTGAAGCCCATTTCTGGTGTCCCCCGTCGTGATATTGCTGGAATATATTGCTAAAAGCGGCGTAAAAACAAACTCACTCATTTTCCCGCCATCCCCTATCAGGTGACGTCACAACTTCTAACTGGTTACGTCATCACTTTGTTCCTGCATTTCGATGCTCTTGATTTTTTCGCAATCTCTAGCTATTACGGTTCAATTTTATTTGATACTCTGTTGGTTGGTTGGTTGGTTGGTTGTTTAACGCCGCACTCAGGAATATTCCAGCACTATGACGGCGGTCTGTAAATAATCGAGTCTGGACCAGACAATCCAGTGATTGATATCATGAGCATCGATCCACGCAATTGGGATCGATGACATTATTGATACTCTGTTTGGTTTGGTCGCTATGATGCCTCCAAAACGCAAAGCATCTATTAATCACCGGCTGGTGAAGGGTGCTGCGAGCAGGGCAAAACAACAGAGGACAAGGCAATCGGCCGTATCAACTGATCCAATGTGGTATTGCCAATTCTTCACAAACGTTGCCCCAATGTTGCTGTGAAGTTGGTTTGGTTTGTTGTTTAACGCCGTACTCCGCAATATTCCAGCTATATGACGCCAGTCTGTAAATAATCGGGTCTGGATTAGACAATTACCAGACTCGATTATTTCCAGACCGCCGTCACACAGCTGTACATGTAATATTGCGGAGTACGGCGTTAAACAACAAACCAAACCAACTTCGCAGCAACATTGTAAACACTACATATCCAGGTCGTGTGACTTGTGTTGTGTGTTAGCCTTGTTCTGGTTTAGGTCTGAAGGGACGTGACGCCTCATTAAGAATGGCCCATGTCATTGTAACCATTAACATTAATTATTACGCAACTGCCGTGGAGCTGCCACTTAGGATTGGTCCCGAGCTGGAATACTGTCCTTACAAAATAAACAGAGCTTCAGTAACACGAGATTCCGCAGGGAATTTTTCATTTTGATCAGAAATTAGTTGGTTTGGTTGTTGTTTAACGCCGCACTCAGCAATATTCCAGCTATATGACGGTGGTCTGTAAATAATCGAGTCTGGACCAGACAATCCAGTGATTAATATCATGAACATCGATCCACACAATTGGGATCCATGACATGTATTAAACAAGTCAGCGAGCCTGACCACCCGATCCCGTTAGTCGCCTTTTACGACAAGCATAATCGCCTTTTATGGCAAGTATGGGTTGCTGAAGTCCTATTCTACCCCGGAATCTTCACGGGTCGATCAGAATTTAAACCAGAACCGGCATACCTTCATTGTGAATTCTAAAGAGACGACACATCCGCTTGGTTGAATATTCATCTTGATATTATATTGATGTGGATAGCCAAGCCTATCAAATCGATTGGTTGGCAGTTGTTTGTAGAAAATATTGAGATTGTTGCTGCTCTGAAGAATGTTGAAGTTGAATTTTTAATCAATATTCTTTGGAACGTTTAACAATTATTGTTTTCAAAAGATCGTTCGGAGGCCTTCTTTCGATTATTAGAGTCGGGTTTCCAAAACAAAGATATGAATTTTGAATTTGAGTGTTATTGTGTTCCTGACATCGATTGGTATTTTCTTATGATGAAGTGAGACGTTTGGATGTGTGGGTTTTCTATTACAACGATCGTTAAACAAGCAAACGGAATAACTAGATATACACGTACACTAATTGTCATAACATGGTGGTGTTGCTTCTTGCACAGTAGTCTTCACTGCATGTCAATTTTACACAAGTAGGGTTGAAGCCCTTTAACAGGAGTCTATATCCTTCTTTGTATAGTCTCCCCGCCTTTAGAAACCAGACGTGGAAGAGGAGCCGTGTTTGTGTAGTCCATTTACAGATATTCAAAAATGTAACCCGCCCCTTTCCCGTACGGAAGCCTTTTAGGGCCATTTGTTTTTTTAATTTTTTCGATAGTATCTTGAAATTTCAACTTAGTATCTTGAAATCGCAACTTAGTATCTTGAAATTTCAACTTAATATCTTGAAATTTCAACTTAATATCTTGAAATTTCAACTTAGTATTTTGAAATTTCAAGATAGTATCGAAAAAAATATAAAAAACAATGGCCCTAAAAGGCTTCCGTATTCCCGTGAAAATCCGGGTTAGAAATGGTCTTCAGCAACCCATGCTAGTCGTATGTGGCTAGCTGACTTGGTTGATGCATGTCATCGTATCCCAATTGCGTAGATCGGACCCGTGAAGACCCGGGGTAGAATAGGTCTTCAGCAACCCATGCTTGCCGTAGAAGGCGACTATGATTGTTGTAAGAGGCGGGGTCGGGTGGTCAGGCTCGCTGACGCTTGGTTGATGCTTGTCATCGTTCCCAATTGCGTGGATCGATGATCATATCAATCACTGGATTGTCTGGTCCAGACTCGATTATTTTAAAGACCGCCGTCATATAGCTGGAATATTGCTGAATGCGCCGTTAAACAACAAACACAGAATTGCAGTAGTTCCCTTACCCCCTCTGTCCACGTTGTAGGCACCCATTCAGTCCTCTTCGTCAAAGTGGACAACAGCAAATATGTTGCAAAATTAACCTGCACCAAACAAAATCACAGTACACGGACAGACGGTCTCTTTTTAAGGGTGCTATGAGTCACACTCAAATGTGTTTTCGTTAGGAATTTAAAGGGTGGCAAGTCACGCACAGTGAGACTAAAAGTAGCAGCAACCATGCATTAATTAAGTGAGTACAAATCTTTCACTGATTATTTAAAATTTGATTTCTTATTTTTTTTTGGTCCATCGTGAAAGTTACAGTGATGGAAAAAGACCTATGTGCCCAATTTGCTCATCAAAGTATGGAAGTATCTTCAAATCCCTAGGTGACGTTTAACTGTGAGCCTACTGTAGGAAAGACCGGTGAAGTTCCGGGGTAAAATAGGTCTTCAGCAACCCATGCTTGCTGTAAAAGGCGACTAACGGAATTGGGTGATAGGCTCGATGACTTGGCTCGTCGTATCCCAGTAACGTGGATCGATGCTTATGATATCAGTCACTGGATTGTCTGGTCCAGACTCGTTTATTTACAGACCGCCGTCATATAGATGGAATATTGCTGAGTGCGGCGTTAAAAAAACAACCAACCGAGCCCTGTAAACATCTTGGAAACCCCATTCCTTTATAGTCAGCCTGCAAAAAATGTCTCCAGTACAGAGCTGTAACTGATGCAGAATGAAGGACTTGGTACCGGGCCACTACACCGGAAACAATGAGAACAACGCCATTGGTATGGTCGATACAAGATTAACACATTGACCTCAACAGTTGCGATGTATTGAAGTGCTGCAAATTCAATGCCCGGTCTCCGCAACACTTAAGGTAAACGCTTAGAAACTCCTGGATGACAGGATATGCTCGTACATAATTGTATCCAAGAGAAGCAATTATCGATTAGGAATTGATTATGATTCTTGTCTAAAGGGTTTTCCTCGGTGTTTGAAGACAGAACGCCATTAAGTTGACAGTGAAACTGGTCGTTCATAAGCGTTCATCATGTCACTGGTATTCGCAATCAGCGTAAGTACCTTATGTTTCAATTGTGTGATATTCGTACAGAAACAGAGACAGTAGGTCTCTTTGTTTTTACCAATTGCTCAATATCCCTAAATGCGAGCATTTGATTATAAATTACATCAAAGAAATTGGTTCAACAAATAGATTAAATAATTATAAAACTGATGGTTGAAACATTCAAGTTACAGAGTTAGAGGCTGAAATGTATGTTACCATGTATCGTAATTTAGTTTGTTTCATCATATTAATGTCACTGCTTTACTAAGCTTGTACACCCGAGCAGATCCGGGTAAGAATATGTCTTCAGCAACCCATGCTTGCCGTAAAAGGCGACTACGCTTGTCGTAAGAGGCGACTAACGGGATCGGGTGGCCAGGCTCGCTGACTTGGTTGATGTATGTCATCGTATCCCAATTGTGTGGATCGATGCTCAAGATGTAAATCACTGGATTGTCTGGTCCAGACTTGATTTTTATACAGACCGCCGTCGTCATATAGCTGGAATATTGCTGAGTGCGGCGTAAACAACAAACAAAGTAAGCGTGTAAGCCTGAGAGATCTGACTCAGGAGGTTCCTCGATCAATACATTATCGCACTAAATTGTCATTTGGGGGTTCTTTTTATGCTATTTTCATCGTACCCTCAACTGCAAACTAAATCCCAATAAATCAAAACATGTACGCGAATTGACATCTATATGCCTAATCCTATTTTGATTAACGACCGTCTTCTTGCAAGAATGAGCGTTGTATAAAATCAATAATCACGAGAAATATCAATTATCAGGAAATTACTTGTCGCATTGATTACTTCCGATATAGATGTTTGTCCATGATTTTCAGATACTGACTTTCTTGATTGTCATGGCTTGCTCAGCTGGTGAGTATCCCAGTACAGTTGTGTAGCATAGCATGGGAAGTGATTTTGTCGTCTTTATCTTAACACGTAATTTCATCCGTCACCTGTCTGGTTTACATGTACATTTTCTAGATCTCTGAATTATGTTTAAGGGACGGGAACGATATCTTTTATGAGTGAGTTGTGTTTAATGCCGATTGAGCAATATTTCTGTTTTTAATATCTCGGCGTGTCAGCTTATAACGGGTGAGGAAAGACCGGGCTGTATCTTCAAAGGAGGTTAAAGTAGTGAAATAGAGAATCTCCCCGAGTGTCTTTTGATATCAAATATATCAACACGAGTTGATAAAAGTGGAAAAAATCCGAGGCTTGCCGAGGATTTTTGCCACTTTTATCAACGAGTGAGATTTTATTTATCATCCAACATCATTCTTCCAACTTTTTCAATTAGTAGACAGTAATTAGCAGTGACTTCAGTGTAAAAAGTACTGCTAACAGCTTCAGTAGCAGAGCCATTAGTTATGTCATTTCATTGTGACGTCACAATGGCCTGCAAAGCATTGTGATGTTATTTCATTGCAGCGATATCTACAGTGTAGATATCGCTTGATCTCATCCAAGCGATATCTCCTGTGGGAGCCAGTTTTGGATGATAAAACGTATTGTCCCCCTGAGAGGATATGTAAGACCACTTAATTCAAAGTACCTTTATTCCTACCACAGTGCTTGTCGTAAGAGGCGAGTGACGGAATAGAGTGATCAGGCTTGGTTGATGCATGTCGTCGTATCCCAATTGAGCCACCTGATCCCCAGCGAGGTGGCCTAGCTTTGGTTACTGGTGGCCTATAGCCCGTGTTTTAAAACTGTATATATGATGTTGTTATGCTCAAATATGTTTCATGAATTGTTTCCAAATATAGTATGCTCAAATATGTTTTACAACTTGTTTTTAAACAAAACTTTGCATTAATGACTAAATTGTAAATATTAACTTGGTCTCGTCGCTATATGGCTGGGATTATGCCGATGCGACGTTAAATGTTAACTTACTCACTGATTGGAGATCCGGGGTAGAATAGGTCTTCAGCAACCCAAGCTTGCCGTAAAAGGCGACTAACGGGATCGAGTGTTCAGGCTCGCTGACTATAAAAAAACATGCTCAGCAGTGAGTTGATACTTACAGGGGAAAAAATAAGTTTACGGTACTCTAACGTCAATGATCTCTCAATGTCGTAAAGCATCAACACCAAATTTGAAAACAAGCAAGAAGTTATTCACATACATATTTAAAATTTATAGGTCGTTAAGGATAGGATGCACTGTAATAATTCAAGTTACATAACGGCAATCAATAAATTGACAGACCAGACAACACAAGAATATTATGAGTATAGGTCTGTGTATCGGATAAGCGACAATCGATCGACTTCATTTGTTTGAAGGCAATATTTGTTTACTTTTCAAAAGATAAACAAACCTAGATTGATGCAATTGTATTCACAATCAAAATTATTTATAGATAGAACGTAATGCAAGCTTCTTAACGATTTGTATATTATTTTGTATTGGATTAATTAAAGGTCATAAAATAGTGACACTTCACTAACATCGATTGTGTTCTGCACATATTGTTGTCTGCTGTTGTTATGTACAACAGACAACCAGTAATGTGTTACTGAATAAGCTGTCCTTGTTGTTATGAACGTGGGTCCATTATTTAGCCGTCACGAAACACTGATGTATTGTTGAGCAGTGTCCTGTACATTCCCGTTACAGCTGTGTTCCTCTGTGCCAATAGTGAGTGAGTTGGGTTTAACGCCGCTTTTAACATTATTCCAGTTATATCGCGGCGTGTCAGCTTAATGTGGGAGGAAAGCCCGAAGTGATGCAGGTCTCAGACGTTTACCACTTCGGTGAAACCCACGAGCACGGGTATGGTGCTGACATACCTAGAAACATAATCGGGGCGAATCATAGGTTTCTGGCGTGCCCAAGGGACGCAGCGAATCGCGACGACTGGGCGACCCGTGCCCAATCTGTGCAAATATATTACTTAAACTAAAGCCCCGTGAAGATCCGGGGTAGAATAGGTCTTCAGCAACCCATGCTTGTAAGAGGCGACTAACGGGATCGGGTGGTAAGGCTCGCTGACCTGGTTGCTGCATGTCATCGTATCCCAATTGCGTGGATCGATGCTCATGATATCATTAACTGGAATGTCTGATCCAGATTCTAATATTTACATACCGCCGTCATATAGCTGGAGTGCGGCGTCTTACAAACAAACTACAATGATACTATGTATGTAGAGGAGTGGTGTTATTTCATGGAAGACAAATTAGGGATGGCAAGTAATTACGCATGGAATCAAACACTATTTTATTACATAATATATTTTATATATTAAAATAACCTTTGTTCTTTCATTACACTCAGAGTGTCGGCCGACATTGATTATTTACAGACCGCCGTCACATAGCTAGAATATTGCGGCGTTAACACTATACAAACAAACGTGAATGGAATTGTGAGACATTAAATAACACGAGCAAGGTGCCCGTCGGTCAGCAGTGTGCACAGTGAAAGGGTGGGCACTCTCATGGGGCCTAGTGGTTAAAGCGTTCGCTCGTCACGCCGAAGCCCCGGGTTCGATTCCCGACATGGGTACAAATTGTGAAGCTCATTTCTAGTGTCCCGCGCCGTGATATTGCTGGAATATTGCTAAAAGCGGCGTAAAACCATACCAACTCATCAAAGCCGTGAGATTAAACGCCCTTCACATCAAGAAATACATGGGGTCACGGTCTGACATTAAGAAAGTTTATCTACATGCCCCCACTGACGTGTTCCTGATGAAAAAGTAAGTTATTCCGTAACATAATGTTGGAGTTTTTGTCTCTCTTATTAACAAATCAGGTTTGGAGAACATATAATGGTCGTGTGCTTTTAGAGGAGACCCGTTTCCAACGTTAAGGGTTCTTGTTCTTTATAAGATAATATAATATGGTCCGACCAACCTGTGCTCCCTGCTCTATTATAATTACAATAGTGTATACCTTGGAATGTACATGTAGGGCTATGGTCTATGATATATTGGTGTTAAGGCATTTCGGTGAGACTAATTTGGGTCTGACACCTACGAATATCGAATCGAGACACGTATATCGTGTTTTGTTTCTTTTGAAAGTTTATAAACCACTTAAATGAATTATTAGCGTTTGTCACATTATCAATATGTCCAGTCTCCTAAACCACACAATCGTGATCAAGCCTTAGGTTTCATGTCTAGGTTATTTCAACAGGTCCAGTGTGTATCACAAGGACCTTAAGAGCGTTTCAATCAGAGTTTGAAAAATGTGTTGAGGTGTTTTTGTTTGGAGTATGAGGGATTGGGATGGAGAAATCATGTTTGTATTGATCCCCGCTAGGGATGCTAGACAGGATTCTCTAGGTTTTTTCCCCTTTGAGTTGGTCTATGGTCATACACATAAGGTCCTCTTGAAATTGGTAAAAGTGGTTAGACGATAATCCGTCTGCGAATTTGTTTGGCAATGTGGCTCAGATGAAGGATAGGCTCTGGCAAGCTACCAATTTAGATGAGCAACATTCGTTTACTGCTCAGTGTAAGGCAAAGGCTCACTTTGTCAAGAAGGCTCGTTCTAGACAATTTAAAGCCGGATACCAAGTAATAGTCTATCTGCCCATTCAAAGCTAGATCCTTTGTCCCTTGCGCAGATATACGTCAGGTAAATGCTGTTGGGTATATCAGCAGTATACCAGTTCGAGGCAGGAAGGTGATATATTGTCACTGACTTGTTAACTTGCTGAAAGCGTACCGAATTAGACGCGCCAAACAGACAGGTCAGTGAAGTCACCCACAAAGAAAATGATGGTCAAGTTATGGAAACCAAACTCCGTAACAGTGAAGTCCTGGCTGACTTAGAGAGCAAGGTGAAGCATCTTCCGGGTCAACAAAGCGAATCTTTGCAGAGCGTGATCACTGATCACATATGCTCCTGGTACTACCAGCGCCATGGTGTGTGCGAGTGGAGTCCCCCCTGCCCGATGGTGACCTAGCCTGGGAATCGGTTCCGTATCTATGTCGACCTGAGACAGTGAATGCTCATGTGAAAGGCGACACATCCTCTGCCACGCATCGACTCGGTCTGCATCGGCCCAGTGATTGACATGAACATCGATCTACGCATTTGGGATACGATGACATGCATCAATCAAGTCAGTCAGCCTGACCTCCTGATCCCGTTAGTCGCCTTTCGCGACAAGCATCGGTGTTCGAAGACCTATTCTAACCCGGATCTTCACGGCTCTATATTTCTCATTTATTATGCCATTGGTAATTTTTGCCATCTTTCTTATTATACATATGGTTGTAGTGAGTTAAAATATAACGTCGCATCGGCATTATTTCAGCCATATCACATATGGTTGTAAATGTTATCGGTACATTTGGATAGCTTATTTTGGTATCAACATTTCCCATATCGATAAGTTTGCTACTCGTGTTTTACTTATTACACCCCCGTTTACGAAGTAAATCGGGGGTATATAGCGTTCCGTTCGTCCGTCCGTCCGAGCTTTTGTACGGCCCATAACTTTTTAACCATGCACCCTAGCTTCACCAAACTTGCTTCACACATTTAACACAATGAGTACTTGTGCCTTTTGCTAGTTTGAAGATTCTGATTTTTTAAATTTTTGCCGTTTCCATGGACACATTAAGAAACTTAAACTTTTAGGGTGGGTGTTTTGTACGGCCCATATCTTTTTAACCATGCATCCTAGCTTCATGAAGCTTGCTACACACATTTTACCACAATGAGTACTTGTGCCTTTTGCTAGTTTGAAGATTCTGAATATTTTTATTTTTGCCGTTGCCATGGAATCATGGTGAAACATAAATTTTGGGTAGAGTTTTTGTACGATCCATGTTTACAATATTATGTATCCTAGCTCCATCAAACTTGCTACATTAACCACTATGATTTGGTTTTTAAATCTTT